CCTCCCCCCTCAAAACAGATCCCCTTGCCCCAGAGATCCTCTTGCCCCCTCCCCCAGTCCTGTTGTCCTCTGTTGTGTTGTACAGACACGTGAAGGATTACCCTGTGGGGCATGTCCATACTCTCTCCCCCACTAAGGGAGGTGGCGAGCTCCGCCAGCCCTGAGTAAGGGGGCGGTTTTAGTTGTGATGGGTAGCATGTCGGGACAGGCTTGGAGTGCCGAAGGGCCTGTTCCTGTGCTGTAATTTTCTTTGATCTTTGAGTGCTGTGTGAAAGCCTGAGCAAGCTGCCCCCGGCCTTGGCCCATGGCGGAGACAAAACTGACAGGAGGGCGATGACCGCCATCACCCGTCCCGTCCCGTCCCTCACCCCCGTCCCGTCCCTCACCCAAGGCTCAGTGTCTGCCGTCCGCCGTGTGACCCCCTCCCCCCACCGCCCGCCGACAGACAAACCTGCACCGGGAGACAATCCGTGCGGTGCCGCTGTGATAGCGGATACCGGCCGAGCCGCCCTGTCCTGTCCGGTCCAGCAAAGTCACCACGACCAACTCCACAACAACAACAACATCCCCCTCCTCACCTCCACAATCCTGCGTCACCACCCCCTCTACCCGATTAGTCAGCCCATCCGTCAATCATCAATCCTCCACCTCGATTGGTCAGTCTAGCAGCCGTTACCGCTTCTTTCACTTCAATTGGTCAGTTCGTCCGTCTATCACTATGCCTTTCAGTACCATTGGTCAGTCTGCCCGCCCATTACCAAACTACGCTATCCGATTGGTTAGTTCGTCCGTCCGCCCGTCACCGCCCCCTCACTGGTTGCTTGGAGACCCATGGCCCCAACACGTGCAAGGGCGGGACCATCCGCCGCTTTCGATGTCGATTGGCTGCACGGCCGCCTGTCTGTCACCGAGGTTCCCGCCCTTCGATCTGTTTCCCGTGGCGGGGAGGCGTGACAGCTCGCCGCTGATTGGTCCAACATCTCTCCTGGCGCTGGTTGGCTGTCGCCCGGCGACGAGTTGGGCGTGCTGCCCGCGTGTACTCGTGACGACAACCAATGAGGGCGCGAGGCGGGATTGGGGTCTCCAAGGCTCGGATTGGAGGAAGGCCTGTGTTTGTGAGCTTTGTACGTAGTAAACCCTTTACTTCAGTATCTGAGCCTGTCTATGGCCCTGAGGCATGTATCTGCACCCCTGTCATTTTGGTATCCTCACTCATATCTGTAGCTATATCCACACCCATATCACTGTTATATCCAACTCATATTTGCACATGTACCATCATCCATTTTCACATTGCTATCCTCACTCATATCCCCCTTTTTGCCCAGATCCGTACCCTCACCTTTATCAACATATCTGTACAGTGTATCCTCACCCATACCCATAACTCTACCTGGATCCTTACCCATAACCACACCAGCATGTCATCTCATCTATGTGGCATCTGCACCCATATCTTTACCTATACCAACTACTGTTCCTTGTAGCTGCATTCTCAACAATGATAGGACCTTTTGTCAGCACCTCAACCATGCCTGCACCTTCATCTGCAAGTATATCCTCATCCATATCTGTAACCAGGATCTATATCTATACCTCTACCCATGTCCTCACTTGAACCTTCATCCTCATCTGCATCACATATTCTCACCTGTGCCCATACCCTCATTATGGTCTGCACCTGTACTTGTCTTTACACTCCGTATTTTCTTTGTAGCTGAAGACACTTTCTCACATACTCACGTACTGTCTTCATATACTCCACCAACCTATACTCGTATCCATCCCTGTATTAATTTCTTCAGCATTATCCGTATCTGTAGTTCACCTGTTACTGTATCCTGAACTGTACTCGATAACACACACCGTTAGCCATTCCTGTACTTATATCCTTAGAATCATAGAATTCCTACAATGTGGAAAGAGGCCATATGACCCATCGAGTTTGTGCTGATCCTCCGAACAGCATCCCACATAGATCCGGTCCACTACCCTATCCCCATAACTTCACTTCTACCTTTCCAATCCACCCAACCTGCGCAGCTTTGGACTGTGGAAGGAAACCAGAGCACCCAGAGGAAACCCACACAGTGCCTGTGGAGAATGTGCAAACTGCATAGTCATCCAAGGCTGGAATCGCACCCAGGTCTCTGGTGCTGTGAGGCAGCAGTACTAACCACTGAGTCACCATGCATTTATCTGTATCTACATTTATATCCATATCCACATCCACACATTAATTCATTCACAGGATGAGGGAGTTGCTGGTTGGCCAGTATTTGTTCACCAACTGTAGATGCCCTTGAGAAGATGGTGGTGAGCTGCCTTCTTGAACCATTTTGTGTAGATGTTCCAGGATTTTGATCCAGCAACATTGAAGGACCAGTGATATATCTCTGATATACTGTGCTTGCATTCATATTTCCAATTTTATCGTTGTCTATACCTGTAATTGATTATGCACCAATATCTATATATATAAATTACTTGTATCTAACTTCTACACATATCTATAACAGTACCTTCATCTGCACTTTCTAATTTCTTCATTGTTCTAACAGTAATCTCCAGTTTATGATCTCTTGCTACTGATTCACCAAGCATACAAATAATCTTTCACGATTTACCCTATCAAATAACTGTTAATCTTCAACACCGCTATAACAGAATCATAGCACTGAAGGAGATCATTCAAATCATCCAGTCTTTTCTGGCTCTGTGCAAAAACAATTCACTCAGAGCCACTCCCTTACCATTTCCACATAGCCTTACAGATAGTTCCATTTCAGATTATGATCCAGTTCGATGTTGAAACCCATAATTAAATCTGCCTTGACCACATTCTTAGCCAATGCATTGCAGATCTTTATCACTTATTATGCAAAGACATTTCATTTCATGTCACAATTGTTTTTTTTCAGTAGAGAGATAACAAGGTGTAGAGCTGGATGAACACAGCAGGCCAAGCAGCATCAGAGGAGCAGGAAAGCTGACGTTTTGGGCCTAGACCCTTCTTCAGAAAAGGGGGAGGGGAAGGGGGTTCTGAAATAAATAGGGAGAGAGGGGGAGGCGGATAGAAGATGGATAGAGGAGAAGATAGGTGGAGAGGAGACAGAGGTCAAAGAGGCGAGGATGGAGCCAGTAAAGGTGAGTGTAGGTGGGGAGTTAGGGAGGGGATAGGTCAGTCCAGGGAGGACGGACAGGTCAAGGGGGCGGGATGAGGTTAGTAGGTAGGAGATGGGGGTGGGGCTTGAGGAGGAAGACAGGTTAGGGAGGCAGGGACAAGCTGGGCTGGTTTTGGGATGCGGTAGGGGGAGGGGAGATTTTGAAGCTTGTGAAGTCCACATTGATACCATTGGGCTGCAGAGTTCCCAAGCGGAATATGAGGTGCTGTTCCTGCAACCTTCGGGTGGCATCGTTGTGGCACTGCAGGAGGCCCAGGATGGACATGTCGTCTGAAGAATGGGAGGGGGAGTTGAAATGGTTCGCGACTGGGAGGGGCAGTTGTTTAGTGCGAATCGAGCGTAGGTGTTCCGCAAAGTGGTCCCCAAGCCTCTTGGTTCTTGATACATCTACAATAAAAACGTACTTTTTTTCTGTCTAGTCTATCCTCAGGATTTTGAACAGCTCTACCAAATCTCCTCTCAACCTTCTCTTCTCCAAGGAGTCAAGTCCCAGCTTCTCCAGTCCATCTATTATAACTGACCACCTTTAACCTTACAGGAAAATATCCTTTTTCAAATATTTTCTCATAATTTTCAGCTCCCTTTCCTAATCTAACACTAATGAATATTCATCATAACTCTTCTGACTCAAACATCCCACCTATATTTTCGCTCTGCATTTTAAATTGTTCCTTTAGACAACTTCAGCTCTAGTTGTAAGATACAAGTGGACGATCTTTGATGTAACCAGACACAAAACTGATTACAAATCTGCACCTCAGTACTGAAGGAACTACAGAATAAACAAGGCGTTTAGGTACCAGGAGATTTCTAGTTATCAATTACTATTCGCAGCAGACTTCCCATGATGTTACTCATGAGCAGCATGGATCTGCAGCATCATTGTGATGTTTAGCTGATGCCAGCCTGGTTTCTTTAAGACCACTGCTTTAAGCACTGCTGTTTAGATCAAGGGAACTCTGGCCCTGACCCAACTGGAAGCCAGTAAAATATATACTTTGGTGTCAGGGCAGAAGAAGCCAGGATGGTCTTGAACAGCTGAGAAATTGGACAAGAGAGAGATTCCAGGGGAATGATTTCATTTTGGGATTCATAACTTGGTTATGTCTGAGACTTTGAAACCGGTGTAATGGTCATCAACATTGACTGGAAACTGATGTCAGCTGAGGACTCAGTGCCAGTACTCGATAAAACTGCAGCCTGCACTTCACCAACCTTGTCAGTTGCTACCTTGGATGTACACTCTTCTGAGAGCCAGCTGTTTCACCCTCCCCTTCCTCGATGACATAATGTCCTATTTCTCAGGAATGATGATAGGGGCACTGAGTAGTCGTAATTTGAAGCCTGCCCTCACTGGTTCCATTGAAACACACAAGCCTGGAGCTCCCACCTCATTACTATGACTGTAGTAGAGGGCTAAATAGGTTCCACTGTCCTGGGTGCCCCTTTACACAACTGGCTGCCTCTGTGCTCAGCAGGGGACCAGGCACCACTGGGTTATTGCAACTCTTGCTGTAAGGTATCTGATTCTTAATAGTACATAAATACATAGGATTAGGTTTCAGATCCGATTGAGCTTCCCGTCGACTTATAGAAGGTTTGTGGATTGAAAATGTAGCTTGAAATAATACAATATCAACAGCTTCTCTTTATATAGACCTTGAACATAAGAAACCATTCCAAGGGAGTTCACAAGACTGTTATAGGGCAGAGTATTGCCATAAAGTTACATAAGGAGATAAACAGGAGGCTGGAAGAACACAGCAGGCCAGGCAGCATCTGGAAGAAAGGAGCAGTCAACATTTTGGGTATTACCCTTCTTCAGGACTGGATGTGGGGGTAGGGGAAGCTGCAGATAAAGGTGGGGGGGGGAGGAGTGGTTTTGCTAACAACTTCCACCCCACCCTCAAACACTCTTAGTCTATCTCAGATACCTCCATCCCCTTTCTTGACCTCTTCGCTTCTATTTCTGGCGACAGTTTACGGACTAACATTTACTGTGAACCCACAGACTCCTGTAGCTACCTAAACTACACCTCCTCTCACCCTGTATCCTGCAAAACCTCCATCCCATTTTCCCAATTCCTCTGTCTCCCTAGCGTCTGCTCTGACGAGGAGATGTTTCACTTTCAAACGTCCCAGATGTCCGCCTTTTTCACACAATGTTGTTTCCCCCCCTCTGTCATTCAGACAGCCCTCCACCGCACCTTCTCCATTCCCCACTCCACAGCTCTTAACCACCACTCCCCCTCCAAATATAATAAAGATAGGGACCCCCTTGTCCTCACTTTCCACCACCAGCCTCCGCATCCAACGTATCATCTTCAAACACTTCCGCCAACTCCAATTAGACCCCACCACCAGGAAGATCTTCCACTCCCCACCCCTCTCTGCCTTCTGCAAGGACCATT